ACCCCTCCATCCCACCCAGGGAGTATTAAATGGTGCTCAGACCCCCGCTGCACCTCCCCGCACTCTTGGTTTTGAGCCTGGCAGCTCGGCGGCTTGTGGGGCTCTTGGGGCACCCCCCAGGCACGGACCCGGTCGATCCCTGCCCTGCACTGGGCCGGCACAGCTGGGGGCAGGGGGAGCGCAGGGTTCAGCACCTCCAAAACGCACAGACTCACCCCACCTTGTCCACGCCGAGCGTCAGTCCTAGCAGAAACCGCGGGGCATGGGAGCCCCTGCCCCCCCAGCCAGCAGGTACCAGCCCAGGGCTGCCCCCTTCAGCTCAGCTCTCAACCCGCCCTGAGCCCAGCCTGGGGGCAGGGGGGCAGCCTTGCTACTCCCTGGCGAGCTCCCAAGGATGCAGGCGGCTCCGGCGCAGCCACCCCAACTGGAAGCACGCAGGGTGCCACTAAGGTGCCAGGCTGCCCCCCCCCAAACCTTCGCAGCCCTCCCCAGAGACTGAGCAGAGCCACCTCCCGCTTTCTCAACAGCTTTATTTCATTGCATCCCTGCTTTTCACGGGAAATCAAGGCCCAGGGCCCTCTGGAACATGAGGACCTGCAAAGTGCTTTAAGCCTCTTGTGCTGAGCGTGGTCAGGTGCTCCCCAGCAAGCTCCAGTTCCTGCAGCGCAGCTCTGCTCGGTCAGGGCTGGGAGCTGGACATGGGGTGGCTTTGTGCTCCAGGAGCCAAGAACTGCTGCTGCTGCACACGTTCCTCCAGGACAGGCAGAGCCTGACCCCAGCAGCACACACGTGGGCCAGGAGAACTGGGCCACCTCCACGGGGGTCGCAGCTGTGCCCCCATCGCATCTACCTGGAGGCTGCTCCGGAGCAAAGGGTGCTGGTGGGGGAACATTCCCAATGTCCCTAAGCTGCAGCCTCAGTCTTCCCTTTAGGGGGTTTTGCCTGCGAAAGGGACGGGGGCATCTCAGCATGCCAAAGACAAGGGGACAGCCCAGGCAGGTGGTCCTGCACTGCTCTGCTCAGTCCCGCGTGACCAGGTTCACTGCTTGAGACCCCCACTCCATTCATGGTTTGAGATCAGGCATCGGGAACAGCTTTTTCCCCCCCTCAGTAGGATCGTGCAGCCCTGGGGCAGTTCACCAGGAGCTGGGGGATCTCTGTCCCAAGAGATTTCTAAGCCCAGCTCTGCAGAGGCCTCCCAGCCCACCCCCCACGACTCCCCAATTCACCCGGGCTGGGCAGCGCCAAAGCGGCACCACGCCCAGCAAGAACACCCGGCACCTAACCGCAGCGTCAGCGCCGACGGAGCTGCCCTCCCTCCACACGGAGTTTGGCCAGATTCACTCCCGAAGGGGGTGAACAAACGTGGAGCCAGGTCAGGTTTCTGGGGTAAGGTCCCCTTGGGACTCCGGGCTGCCTCACAGTAGCTGAGGTCGTGGTCCAGCCCTCCCTGCAGCCCGGGCCCCAGCTGGGTCCCTCTCTTGCCCCCTGCTGCCTGTTCTCACCAAACTTGTCAGAGTTTAATCGCTGGCAGGTCCAGCTCAGACCAGCCACCGAGCCCAAGACTCAAAGAACGGCTCCACCGGGGTTTTCCCAGATCTTGTGAATCGAGTTTTAACCAAGGAGCAGAAAATAACTAAACCTGCTGGCAAAACGTTGCTCCAACCTCACCTCTCCAACGCAGCCCCATTCTTACCTCCTCAAACTTCTCCTTCCAGTAGACGTCAGCCTTCGCATCCAGGTAGAGCAGAACCAGGTCACAGACCACCGTGGCCTGGAGACAGACAAACGCAGAGGGCAGTCAGCAGTGAAACGTCCTGTGCAGCGCTGGGGGCAGCGTTTTTCCCCCCCCTGCCTCTGGCCCAGGCAGCCCCACCAGCTCCTCTGTGAGCCCACCCGCTCCCATCCACCGCACGGGGGGTTAGACGTGATCCTCCAGGCTGCGACACACGGATGGGGGGGCGAGTGCTGGTCCAGCAGGGCCACTGTCAAAGCCACGTAAGGGACCAGAACGAGCGCGGGC